GAGTTGGGTTTGCAGGAGCCTGCATGTGTGGTGGCCCCGGGGCAGAGATGACACAGGCCTGCTGGAATGAGAGGGGAATAGAGTCTGGGCGTTCCTCTACAAACGCACTATTAAACCCGCTGCAGTACACAATGAGCTCATCTTAATTCAGGTCAGATGTACATCCTGCTTTCTCTCTGTCTTTTAATTTTCTGAATTTATTACCTTATGTACATCCGTCTATCTACTACTGCCTATCACTACACATTATGGTTAATTTAAAAAGGGAGTCCACGTGTTAGCATGGAAAGACAAATCAGAGCGTAAGGGTTAATTCAAGGTTTCCTTCTTAGTCACAATTGTTTTAGAGCAAACAAAGCAAAAACAAAAGAAATTGCAAGGTTCCAAAAGTGAACTTTAATCTCCGATTGCATATGCATAGATGTTTTATTAATAAAAAGGTATAAAAAATGGACAAATGCTCTAATGCAAAGTTTTATGAAAAACATTTTGGATAAAAAATCAATAAAAGTTTCAGTTCCTCAAAGAGTCTTACCTTGTAATAACCATAGAAAGATCACAAGCATCTTTTTGAAAAATAATAAAAAAGCTTTCCCAACCATTTTTCTTTTTTTTTTTGTACAAATCACACATCTGACAGACGTCACTAACCGACAGCAAACCATGGTCCTAAATAATGGTCGACATAACCACCAAATCTCTTTGCAAAGATACAAGAGGCTTACAGAAAACCTATTTATCACCCAAGGCTTCGCATGAAGAGCAACATGTATTTGCGATACTTCCCTTAAAGGCAAAAACAAGGACCACAAGTAGCTGGGCGACTAAGGTGTGAAAAATGGTGTGCATTTAAAGCAGCATGGGAACCAAAACCACAATGTGACTTCCTACAAAACTCAGCATGGTGCATGCAGTGCACCCAGGGTGGAACATCGCTAACAATGCAAGCTAAGGCATAAATGCAACATCTAACAGAATGCTCAAAGGTCATCTGCAGAGACGAGGAAAACCATGAGCATCATAAGTTGCATGTTTAAAATGTTTTGATTTTTCTTGTTTAGTTTGCAAATTTCTGAAAGTCCGATACTAAAATAGAAGTCCAAAACCCTAAAAAAAATCTTTGCTGGTTAGATGGTCACAAACCATAACAGTCTGACATAAGCATTAAGTGGTTTAAAGATTGCAGATGTTGTATTTACACATACCCCCTCCCCAACACACACACTGATGAATCCCCCGACATATTGTGTTTAGCACCTTCTAATCAACGGTACCTTGCAAATGCGTTCATAGTCGTTAAGCTTTACGTATTTTCACACAAATCAACCAAATGTTTTTTTTTAATTCTATGAGACACAAAATAGTGGATAATAATGTGAGAGAAAACCTGAAAAGCAAGGCATAGTTTTTAATTCACCTCCTTGCAAGTCTTATGGAATACGTCTCCACCAGCTTTGTACACAAGGACTCTGAAATGTTTGCCCAATCTTTACAATACTGCTAGTTTTTTTCAGAGTAAATGTTTTTAGAAAGTATATTGAAACTCTGGTTGCATGATAAGGTGTCTTGTCCTACAAGGAGGCGACATTTGCTCAGTCCTTTGCATCTTTTAACTGATGTTAACCCTTGACCTGTCTGCTTTTTTCTTGGTCTAATAAGGCTGTTTGATCAATAATGTTCTCTAACCATACCTTTAAGGCCGAGTCAAGTCTACTGCTGTATTGATCAATTCAAGTATAGAGAAAGACTAACACATACACACAACTTACTTTTTAGATTTCTAGTGTTAATAACAATAATAATCTGATGCGTCGTCCAAAGTTCTGTCTACATAATTTCAATCCACTTTAACATTCACCAAAACAAGCCACGCGTCCTAAACAACAGGAAACATCTAAACATGTAATTAAATGTTGCATTATGATAAATTCTTCATAAATATTTTCCCACGTGTGTAGTGTAATCATTTAATCAAAGTGGCTGCTTTCAGCCTGACTGTAGTGAGTAATGGAAACAACTGGCCTAAATTACTCTGCTGAGCCAAAATAAGAAGGATGTCACATTTAATAGTTTGTGCCCACACCCATCTCCACTCAGATCTCCACCTCTCATAAGTCAAAAGGTTGAGGTTTCCAAACTCTGTGTGTCAAAGGATTGTCCAGTAACGTCTAACATACTTAACGGTGACGTTACTCAGCAACAGCTGAGTATGATTAAGAAAAGCCAAGGGCATCCAGAACCTATGCAGTGATAGGACACGAGCTGTGACATTAGGATCTGTTGGCTGTTTCTTATTCCTGGTTCTAACACTGTTTTGTGTCAAAGCAGTTCCCCAAAGACCCAGTTTGAGGACCAGGAGTGGGAGAAAGGAGAGAAAAAGAGAAAGAGAGCGTTCCTCAGGTTTCACAGCTGCAGGCTCGACTCGGTCCTGGAGTAAATGGACTTGAGGAAAACCAATCCTAATTGATTCCAAGCCTCAAAGCTCTTTAGTAAACATTGTGGAGCAATGAAAATGACTTGTTATCCTAATTCATTGGCTGCTCGTTTTGTGTGTTCGGCGGTATGGAGCAACAAACCAAGAAAGCTGGGGGAAGTAAGATTGAAATAATATAATTAGTCTCATTTAGTGACATATTTAAAGCATACTTCCTTCAATTGATTGATACGCCTCTGTATTGCTGAAATATTACTAGGGTAATAAGATACTTAGGTTAACAGGGAAAGAAACGTGTGCTACACAGAAGGCTTACCTTCGCAAACGAGACTGCAAATGAAAAACTTGGGTAAAAGAAAAAATATTCTGTTACAGCTGGACAACGCAGCAGTTTAAACTCATCACAGGGAGTCACTGCTATAACTATTTCAGGACAAACTTGCTTGTAAAGTAGTTGCTGGATGTCCTTGTAAAGAGATCCTGTGCACAAAGACTCTGGTTAGTCCTAATGTCTTCCTGTGGAAGCACTGATTTACATCCTGCTGTTGTAAAAATTTCCAGCTCGGTTTTCTTCTGCGTGAATCTACTCTTCGCATTCATGTGTCAGGATTCATTAGTCGCTGTAAACAAGCAGCACTTCCAAAAGTTCAGAACCTGGATGAACTGCAAGGTTTTCACAATTAAAATGTGCTTGTTTGTTTTTTTATGACACTCTTGCTTCTACAACAATAATGAATATATAAACAAACAATTGAAAAATTCTCACCAAATCCTTCAAGGTGCTATGCTGCATAACTGCATGCTGCATCAGAGAGGTAGGGAGTTCACGCTGACAGGTGAACTCAGGTGAAGCACAGCCTGACACAGCCTCTGTTACCGGCAGTGATTTGCTGCTCCTCCGTTGGGATGAAATTCCAACCCTGTGCTCAACAAAGAGCCTGACAAGGTGTCAGTCAGGCTTAGAGATGGGCCTCCCATCCAATATTCAGCAGCTCCTCGAGCTGTAAATCTACACAAGACAACTTGAACACAAGGCCGGCTTAGCACTGAGTCATCTCAATGTTTAACTAGGTAGCCACAGGACTGGGTTACAATGACAAAGCTCTGGCACAAGTGTGAAGGTGGCTGGAGCGAAGGCAGCAGGACAGCATTAGGACAGCTGATGGTTTTCCAAGGGCAAAAATACAAAGTTTCAACTAGGATTAGCTGGTAAAACCCTAGTAGTACTTTGAGAATTTAACAAAGTAATATTTGTGCCAACATTTAAAATCCAGCTCAGAGGTTGGACAAGGAGAGCTTTAATGGATAAGCAGCAAAGAGACACATGGTAGCTCTGAAGGAAGTGCAAAGATCAACGGTTCAGATGGGCATGGCTGGTGGTTAGACGGGTGCGGCCAAATAAAGGGCAGCCCTGAATGGAAATCTGTATGAAGCACATTCATCGGCTATTCATATATTAGAATCACATAGTCCAGACTAAGAATCTGGCTCAAAAAACTTTACCTCATAAAGACACTGTACATCCAACCTAGGCTTAAGCCACTTTCTTTAGAGGAATACAGAAACATACTAGTTTCTAGTTGCTCATAAAATCAGCTGAATTTCTAGCAATCTTTGGTTCAACAAGGAACTGACTCAAATGGGCTTAACACAATGTATTCAACACTTTTCTGACATTCAAACTATTTTTCAAAAAACAAATTAGGGTGTGCTTCAGTGGAGTATTGGTTGGCGTACATGTCCCATGTACAGAGGCCTTAGTCCACAACGTGGCTGACCCAGGTTCAAATCTGGCCTGTGGTCTTTTACTGCATGTCTCTCCCCCTCTCTCATACTCCCCTTCCTATCAGCCCAATCTATAAAAAAAAAGAGCCACTAGCATCGTCAAAACTTAAAAAACAAAGGTCTAATAATTTTTTTCTTGCCAGAATAAGATTTCATTAAAGTGTAAGGGGTATGTTTTTTTTTCAAACCAAGGTTAAAATAAGTTAGGAAAACATTGCAAACAAGATCAAAATTACCATTAAAAATTGGATTGAACTCTCTAGATTAAACTGAATTAATAATGGTTTGCTTTAAAAACATCTCAAATCTGCCTCTGTACCAGAAAAGAACTCTAAGAGGCTCAGATTCTCATATTCATAAAAAAATCAGTTTCTCAAAACATGAAAAGCTACACTTTTGTAAAGCAACACAGAGCTGACGCTTGAACAATAAATCCTCATCTAGTCCTCTGAGAACGCTGGCATGCGCTGCTCTGGGCCAATGCTGAATGAACAGCAAAACATGAATTTCTGGCCCCACATACAGCACTTGAAATGTAACTAAACTCTGACATTACCTCAGAGAAGACAGAGGAATGACAGCTGGCACAGGCACAAAGGACCAGGCTCAGCCTGAAGCTGTCACTGTAACAGGGCCACACTCAGAGGTGAGAAATACAATGCGCCACTTCCACGATAATTTTCTATACCAAAACGTGATTCTAATAAATACAGAAAGATGTAGAGTTTGTGTATTTGTTGCCAGTAATGCTGATTGTATAGGGGTTTTGTGTCTTACTCACCCTATCTGTCTGTTGGTGGAGGGTGCCTGAGTGATGACGGAGCTGGACTGAGGAGAGGGAAGGGCCTGCTGGATCACTATGCTGGTATCATGGTTGGTCATCCGTGCGTGGGACTGCTGGTGCTGACCTTGACCTGCTTGGCCATGCAGAGAGATGTTCTACAAAGAAGAAAAAAAAAACACAAGTGAAGAATGAATCTGAAGCACAAGTGTGGTGGTTTGGAACCATTTAGCCTTCCCTCCCCATACACCCATCTTGAAGCTGTAATGAGGAATTATGTAAACTATCCTCTACAAGCTTCTCCACGTTCCATTTGGGACACACTGACAGTCTAATGAAGACCAGGTTCCCTGAAAACTCTCTCAAGGATCAGTCATGTATAACAAGAGGGATTGCAAAACAGATCTATGCTATCAACATTTTACTCCTCCTGTGATGTTCTTAAATTTGTTTTTCATGTGGTTTATAGAGCGTCAAAAATGTGCATTGTTGGCATGAAAATCGATTTAACTTTTGGCTTTCAGAATTTGTAGAGTTTCTTTTATTTGGAGCAGTATTAAACTTTTAAAAAATCTGTACAGATGCAAGATAAAGATTTAGGCTCAATCATCTTCATGCCTACAAGTAATTGGTTTTATGATTTTAATAATTTGCAGAAAAAACAGATTTTTTTTTTGCCACTCATCAAGGTTCTGGAATCATTCTTGGATATTTCACTTTATTCGGTTGGCATAAATAGACTGTAGCCTGTGTAATTCTTTACTTATTTACAAGGGCAGTACATCTCTGCAGTTTAAGTGCAATAATCCAAGTCAACTACTGTGTAGTCTTCTCTTAGCTCTCTACTGTGGAGATATTTTTATATCTAAAGGAAACATATTTCAGGACATTACACTTTTTCATGCTTTTTTTTATACTATATACACTCTTTTTATATTGTCTTAACTCTGTCCTTTGTACTCTATATAAGCTACTGGAACCAGAATTTGCCTGAAGGAGTAATCCCAATGAATAAAAAAAGCTGAGACTAAGTCTAAGTCTATATGGTTTAGGTCAGTTTAATTATTTGTTTCCTTGCAGGACACTTTCCATTTTCAAAATGTCTGAGGTCAGAGTCTTTTCAGAAGCTGCTTTATCATCACAAAATCTGTTTTGATGTGTCTTTTTAATCATTACCCTAATGCATCACCAGATCGTGTCCAAGTTTCACAGATCACTCCTCATAATGAGAGTATGTTCAAGGGTAACCACGGAAACACAAAGTTTCAAAACGAAAAAAGAACTGGACGATTGTGCAACACCACTCATACCACCTTAGACTATACCAGAATTCAAGAAGAATCTTTGGAGAAGTCAAAATAAAGCCTTTAGACTTAAGAACACTGGACTCATAACTAAGCACGATGGTGGCAGCGTCAAGCTGAGAGTCTGTTTCCTCATCAGTACTTAGAGAATTGAACAAAATGGATAAAGTAAAGAGGAAGGAGGAATAACTGCAAATTCTTCAACCTCACCTCAAACCGACAGTCCCAACAGGGCAAGGATTTCCAACTCACATCCAAACTGGTTTGGAATCATAAAGCAAGCTTACAAACCTTTAAACTGGTCCTTAACTCAACCTGATAAAAAAATGCATAGACCATGCTTATCGGTGCCAAGAACAAAACAAGTTAGATGAACAGAGCCATCTCTGATGAGTGGTCTGCTGTTCAGACAGAGTTTTGTCAAAAGCTCATTGATGGCTATAAAAACTAAGCGGCTTCCCAACAACTTGCTTTTGGACTTGCTGTAACTTGCTAACTAAATATCAATATGATGAATTTATACATTTATGTACTGTACAAATGTGCATTCAATGTGTTTGATCAAAGAAAATCCACAAAACAGCTGACACAACTCTGGTTTTTAAAATTGATGAAGGTAATCATAATTGTAGTGCTTCCATAACAGCCCAAGCAGAAAAAACGAATAATGGTTAAATATCCAAGATTATGTTTGAATATTCTGGTTAACTTAATCCACAACCTAAAAACTACGAGATATTAGACCAAAAAGTTAACCTTCAATTAAAACAGTACAAAAGGAGTGAATTTACAAAAAAGAAACCCAATACAATAATTTTCTTAATTAAAATCCACCTTTGCATGGCGTATAAATCTATGACTGTTTATCTTTTTCGACTTTTCAGGAGTTTCAATGCTTTTGCCTCTTATCTCTGCCTATTGTGTGCCTAACACTCCTACACCGTCCTGCTCTGACTCGCCTCCTGCTGACTTAGCAGAGCCTCCCGTCATAAACCACACAGGCTGGGCAGACTAGACATGGCTGACCTGAGCACAGACAGGCTCCTCAGCCAAACCCCCAGGAAAACAGCTTAGCTACAGCATGCTCTGCACATGTTCCCAGACGTTAAATAAGCAGTCTGTCTTTTGCTGATATGACTAGTATCCATGTCCTAGGTGAAGGTGCCATAGGGCAGATCTATATGGCATAAATGATGATGTCCTTTGATGAATATTACATTTTGGACCACTGCTTTAATGCAAGACTTTCAGGCCAGCTTGTCTGGTTTTGCTGTTACTTCCAAGATGTCAGTGGTCTGACTTGATTTCTTGGAAGAAATATGACTCCCTCCACTGAGTTGCAGGTGAAGAACCTGATTTCAGCTCTTTTCATCTGTGGTGGGAAACAAATCTTTATCTGCTAGACCCAGTCTGTCACAATTGGCATTAGGTGCGTACCTTATACAAAAAGGTGAGAATAGAGGACACAATTAAATAGAGAACAACCATTTGTGGTCATCAGCTTCTTAAAAGGAAGCTGTGAAATTAAGTTAGGTTTCGGGTGTTTTTTAATCTATCTCAGATGCTTTATCGGCTCAGAGTGCGTAGGCATCTATTTGTGACTAATGATTGCTCCAGATAGCGGTTTGCAAACCAACACCTGTGGAAGGTTGTGGCTTTGGGTTTTTCTTGTTTGTTTTTTATTTTAGTCTGAGGCTTTCTTCTCTATTTTTTAGTACCTGCTTACTGTCCTCTTCTTCTTGCGCTTTGCAAAAGTCCTGCTCGATGGAGCAGTCCAGGTCACTGAACAACCCAACCTCTTCACAGTTCTTCAAGAATCGGGTCGGCGTGGGCGTCTGGTCTGGAAATCAAAGAATACTGGGTCAAGTTTTATTATGCAGCTAACTAAAACAGTTTAAAGTATTTATTTAGTAAAACCATACGAGCAAATACCTGTTATTAGCAAAGGCCTAAATACTTACATTTTGTCTGTTTTTTTTTTTGCAGCTATATTAGCAAGAAAATAAAATCAAGTTTTATGCTAAAACCCCTTAGGAAAATAAAAACCTTTTTTTGCAGTAAATGAAATCAGACACCTTTATAAATGTTCATCTAAATAATTCAGATTTTTGCTTTTAATGCAAATTTAGAGTAATCCCATCCAGGATTACCAGAATATACTCACCCCCCCATCAGTTTTCCACATTAGACAGAGTGAAAGATATGTAATTAAACAACAAAACTAGTGCATACATGCTACTCAATGCTTTTATTTTTATTTTATTTTATTTTTTACAAATAAATCTGGAAATGATTGTGTAAATGTGTATTATAGAAACATATTTTTCTAAAATAAGGAGGGTGGTAGCTTTGCAGAGTCAGATAATCAAATATTTGCCTAGTTTTTTTAAAACAAAAAAAGGTCACACTCATTTTGATTAAATAAAGAGCATCTGTGATTAATCTTTAAATTTCCCAAATGGGTTTAGGTCATTCCAAAAAATGATTTGTTCTGAACCGTCAGAGCTCTGACTGAAAGTTTAGAGTTTTAGTCAAGTTTCAAGATGGAATTCGGTTTAAATTTCATGTCTTTTGCATCGTCTAAAAGGTTTCCTTCCACAACCGTGCTGCGTTAAACTCAAACCATCGTGTTAACCATAACCATCTCCTCTGTCGCTGCTGAAGAGAAGCATCACCGCAGCATGATGCTTCCACTGCAGTGCTTCAGTGTGGGGACGTGTGTTTCTCCTCAAGGCCACAAAGCAGAACCATCCTCCACATTTTTGCTGGGTTACCTTTCATTACCGTAATTGTTGTTTTTCTTTTATTGACTGATCAAACTGAATCAGCAACAACAATTTAACCATAAAGCTAGATTTCTGGAGAACAGATAAGGTAGATCATATTTACTAATCAGGGGACTTAGGAACAAGGTTTTTTTTTTGCCATTTATGTTATTTGGGGGATCCAAGTAAAGGGGGATGACATATAAAAGACAGAGTGACTAAAGCTTGTATGGGTTAAAGTCACTCTAAGCTACAGTCAGTCATATACTTCTTAAAAAAGGCATTAGTGCTTTTAGTTATGAGAGGGAGATGCTCCCTTGACAGCGCCATTTTCACCGACAAAGAACAGATTCCTCGTGTTGAGAGGGGGGTCTCAAGCCAAGCTGCAGTGTTCAGCTTGACGTTGGAAGAGGGGGGGGTGCCTGCTGCCTGCATATCAGGTTTCAACCAGTTGGAGGTGATTTTAGGATGAAGGATGTTTCAAAGGCTAAAAGCATGCTTCATGGTCTGTTTACCCGTTCTGGCTAGACTGAGGATTGACACAAACTTTCAACATGACCGATGCACCCAAAATACAGTTTCAGGCAGACTAGAACCTTCCAGTGCACTTCTTTTAGTGAGCTTTTATTTCAAGCTCTGACTGAAAAAGGGGAAAGCATATTTGTCTGTACACAATACGTTAGTTAAAACCGCAAAAAAATTATTACTTTATCACACTTTACCGTGTGAGACTGTTTTGAAACTTTACCGCATGAGATAAGCTCTAGCGTAAACTGCTGACCATTTTCAACTGAGTTCAACATGTAATTCAGAGAAGTTGTAACTCAGACAGGCGGGCTATGAGACACTCGGCCTAGAAAATCTGATCCTGTGGTCCAAGCAGTGTAAATAATAGAAGGGATAGAATCTGGCTTAGACAGACAATAGCTGATAAGGCAGGATGCTTCTAGGAGGAGGGATCTATGGCACATCAAATGAAACTCATATAAAAAAATGAAAAGATGTAAACTTACTTGAAGCACAAGTAGGGAAAAAAGGCACTGTATGGTCACCACTCAGATATCAACATCTCTATTTCGTGCTGTGGTGTGCTCAAATAGCATGAACAGGAATGACCTGAGCCGGAGGCTAACATACCGTATGATTTACATTACTGCAAACAGCTTGTATAGGACTCCCCATAAAAGTTTTTGATGACAGACGAGTATGTCTGTGGTTGAGTCATTTTGGCACACCTCTGGATCAGAAACCTGCTCGGCTATGGCAGCAAATCAGTCTGTATTGATGCAGGCGTAACTCACCTGATAACATGCTGTCGTTCTTTATGGAGGGGAACTTAAGGGTCATCTCGTGTTTGTGACGATGAATCATCAGATGGTCCTCCGTGGGAAAACGCTGTATGGATTTAAAGACCACAGGTTATCAAGGAGAATTGACAAGACGAGTAAAGTAAATAAGAATTTGGATATTTTAGAGAAAAAGAGTAAAATGAGGCATCAAACAGGAAGGTTGTTGTCGATAACTGGTGTAGCACTAAAATAACACCCCGGCTGTTTGCGTTCTAATTAAATGTTTTTCGCTCACACACCATTATAAGGAAGATAAGTGCGATATACATCCTGTGTGTTTCCCCTGTAATATGCTATCTATTTAAAGATAAGCACTAACCTGAGAGCATCCAGGAGCATTGCACATGAATGGCCTTTCCTGGTCTGAGTTCATCCCTCTGGCCAGCGTCTCATAAAACTACAAGAAAAGACGAATAAAGAGATAAAAAATGGGGAACTGAGTGCTTCCAAATTCTTTAACAAAGTGTTACTAATTAGCTTGAATCCATTTAAAATACATGTGGACTTAGAAACATACAAATATTCCAATCAATGAATTCTGTCTATTCAAAACAATGGTTTATGACATATTCTTAAGATGGAGATTAATGAAACTTAAAAAATAAATAAATAAATAAATAAATAGGCAACACAATGTGTAAAACTTCAATCATGTGCCTACTATATCAGCTGCAAACGACCCCAAGTTAAGTTTTGTTATTTGAATGTCAATGATACATCAGGTTCGTTGAATAGATTCAAGTGACCAACATGCTGAAGCTTAGTGGTAGGGAAATGATAAGGGAAGTATTTGGAACAGATATGTTCATCTAAAAAGCGCTAATATTACAGCCGTATGTTTTCCTTAAATAATCTAGCAACGCTAAATCATATTTTAGCAGTATCCTATTTAATTTTTTCTCAGTCTCTTCAAATAAGTACATTTTGTGAAAGCAATGATGTGATGAAACATTCCTTAACAAATGCAGTTATTTCTGTGTCGATTTTCTCATCATGTACTTATTGAAAGATGTGTAAAATACTTTATGTAGCTCTTATAATCTGTATGGAAGAAATAAAAAGAGAAGTGAAGCCGGAGCAGATAAATATAATTTGAGGATGAGGTTTATTTGGTGTAAAACAAACAACAACTTCACTGAAAATAATGATGTGCTTTATGATCGCATGAGATCATGAGATCAATCTTGTCAAATGTTAAAGACTTCAAGCTGTCATTCTTATTTAAAGGAGAAAATTCAGAACAAAATGTTCCAGAAAAGAAAAAAAAATGTCCTTGAACCTGTGATAAATTCCAGGACAAAAAAAGAGAAATAAATGAAACCAAGCTGAAAGAAAATGATAATTTTTCTCATCAAATCCTGGTCATTATATCTATGAAATTTGTAAATTTTAGCAAAATAAAGCATCCAGTCAATAAAACTTTGAGAAATAAAAGAAAAATAGAACACAGGAGGAGATATGTTTTTTTTACCGCTAATCTAAACAAAAAACGAATAAAATTGACATAAAGACTGAAATACCGACCATATAAAATTTTTTAATAAACTTAAAAAAAATGACTGTTTTATCCTAAACATCAAAACAATCTATGATCATTTGTTGCTGTTGTGTATGTAAAACAAATCAATACACAGCGTCTGTTAATGCTGGGTCTTTTAAGCAAAGCTAGCGCCGTACTTTACTTCTTTGGAGGACTAAAAAAAAAACTACCGTAATAGTTAAACCTGAAATACAAACACAAATTCAAGCAACTTTTATCAACTTTAATATCAGAGTTTGTACAATCCACTACATCTAAAGTTTTTTTTTTTTTCAAAAGCTCAAGAGCATGTTTATCTTACTAAGAATACTTTATACATTTTGAATAGTGCAGCAGATTACATATGATCAAGTTTTAGTATTTTAAAAGATGAGCGTTACAGATATGCAGCATATACAAAGTTTCATGCAAGACGTTAAAGCAGTAATAAATATCAGCCTATCATTAGCCTTTTTATCAGTACTTTGTTACAAACAGACTTGTTGGTTTGGAGGATCATTAGAAATATCACTAACATTAAGTATGGAATGAGAATGAGTCTAATGATTCTTACTGGTCTCTTGGTTAAGAGTGTCTTATAATGTATGTTTATGTCAACAAGGAACTAGTGCTTTGTTATAAATCGATAAAATAAAATAAAAAGAAATCAACTGTGAAGGCCATAACGATTTCAATAAATGTCTTTCTCATTATAATGTCACATTTAAAATAACTCAACTTCAGGCAGAGGACACTAAAGTTTTAAAGGAGATGCCCTTTTTAAATAACTTTTTAGCCTAGTTTGCTTGAAATGGTTCAGCAGCGGTGTGAGGCTCACTTACAAAACGCATTTATCACTTTTTTCTCTTTCATTTTAACCTGCCACATGTTCGTTGACAAGAACTGCAACACACCTGCAATTCAGTCAGAGCTGCCCTTTCAAGCTACAAACATGAATACCTTCATACACTATTTACATGGGTCCCTTTTTTTCATGGGGACAGAGTATTTCCTCAAGCGCCGTCAAAACACTCTGATATCGTGTTTATTCAAGCAGTGTTTGCCTAACAAGCTGTGCTTCATGAGTAAGCCTGCAGAACAGGCTCTGGACAGGGTCTTTCTTGTCAAAGAGCAAAGTGGTCAGGTCTTACTCGCTTCCCCCCTGGTCCACTCAGTCTCCCTACATGGGCTCTAAAAACTCACCTGGTCTCCTTTGACACAAAAAACATGAGCAATCCTTGGATCCCAACTAAACAGAGGATGACAGCCAGTTGGACCTGCGCCTGAAGACCTGCTGTTCTTCATTTCTATGTTGAATCCTTTTCTGATACTTTTTTTGACTCAAATGTTTCACCTTTGGTTGTTTGTCAAACTTTTATCACCATTTGTTTTCTCTTATAGAGCTTTAACAGTGGCTGCAGATAAAATATTGTATATATTATGTAACATTGCATATATGTGTGTATATGTGTGTGTATATTTATTTATATACATATAGCGATACAAGTTTGACATACCAATCAGAAACTGATTCAACACAGAAATAAATAACAGCAGGTCTTCAGGCGCCATATATATATATATATATATATATATATATATATATATATATATATATATATATATATATATATATATAGTTTAAATGTTTCATTCTATTTCATTAATATGTAGACCAGCAAATATTTATTCTGCATTTTTAAGCCAGTTTTGAAGAGTTATAGCTGCTTTTATTTCTTTTTATATTTGTGTTTTTCTTTTTGTAATATGCTTACTGTTGTGTTTTTTTTAGGTAGACAACTTTAAGATATGTCCAGGGACAACAGATGAAAAATAGCCCTTTGGCTAATTTTGGTGCTTTTGCAGGAATGCTTATTAATGTACACTGTCCCTGTCAAATAAACAAATAAATCTAAATAATTTTATTGTCACAGGAAAATGGTGATCACTATATGAGAGATGCTGTTTCTTATTTTTCATTTGAGTATTTTGGCAGATTTCACAGGAAACTAAAACCATATGATGGATCAAATTCTGCTTGTAATTCCTAAAATGCCTCTCTGAATCCCCCAATTTCTTTTACACTTTAGATTGTCACTTCTCAACGCCCTTCCCTTGGAAATGACACTGGGCTTATGTTTTATATAGATTTTTTTTAGTTTAGCAGAGGAAATTTGGTTACACTTCAACATTAACTGAACCCTGATGTGAGCGAGCAGAAGGATTAGGGTCTAGCGTTTGGTTTCAAGAGGAACAGGGGAGGAATTCTCCAGGTAGTCCATGCATTAGAATTCAAACAGTATGGTAAAGGAAAGAGGGGTTAAGGTGCAAAGGGGTTTAAAGCAAGCCTGAACACGCAGAGCAATTCAAATCTATGCATTGTCACAGCCTTGGCTTTTGACAGCACAAGTTCAAGGCAGGATTACAGTGATCACCTGAGGCAGACTGGATGGCTGCCTTAGACGGTTTCAGCGTTTTGAAAAGCAAAATTAATTCTAAGTCAAACTTGATTTAATTGTAATTTTAGACCAAGACAAATAGGTCGCCATGGCAATGGAACCCCATGAACTGACTGAACAAGTTGAAATCAATGCAAGAAATTAAAAAAAACAGTCTGAGAACTTCTGAATAAAAGCTCCGCTTTCACTTTACTCTGAAAAATTATGGAACCTTTTTGGCAACTACTCAATCATATTTAGTTACTTTCAAAAATCTGCAGATTTTGTAAACTGTAGTTACTTTACAATATCTGCACAATTGATTTTGTTCCTACAATGCTAACATAAAGAAAATACTGTTAAACTAACTGAATTTGATTAAATTAATGCCATAAACTGTTTTCTGTGGATCCCCTCTTTCTTTCTTTCTTTCTTTCTTTCTTTCTTTCTTTTTTTTTTTTTTTGTACATTGGCCCTATCATTACCCCAGGAATCATGAGCACTGGAAGCAGTCATCAACAAATAAACTTAGTTTGGGTCACATTTCACCAGTCTAATCAGCCTCAAGACTGCAATCAAGCCTAGGCAGAAAATCTGCAGCAATGTTATTCAAATCAAGCCATTATACCTGATGCTTTACCTGACAGACTATTGTGATTATTATTATTCGGTGGTGGATTTCATGACATTTTGCTTATTTCCCCTCAGTAACAAAAGGTTTTTACGCACAGAAATTGACTTATCAAGAAATATTTTTAAACAGACTTTTGCAACTCAAATGAAATGTAGAATATATTAAATCATTTTGTCTGAGAGTCAGCTATTTTTAAAGTTTCTACTTCATCCTCACAAAGAAACAAAACCCAAGTCTTATTATTATTATAACATATTTCTATTGCGTTTGTCTTCTAATAATAAAAAAGTAATATGCAGGATTTCTGGTCATCTGTTTTCTCACCTCTCTCCTCACATATTTTACAGTCTACATGAAAGAAAAGTGGTTATTGACAGCGCTGTCACATAAACATAATGACAGCGGCCGAGGAGCAATCATATAATTAAAGCGCGTTTCTTCCCTTCCAGCCGGATGGCAACAAAGCGCGCCTCGTCAGCACAACCTTACTGAAAGTAACCCTCAACATCAAATATCGACGAGCCTGCAGCATGACGTCATGTTGCTCACATTGCATATCGGGGGGGAATTAGAAAAAAAAAAAAAGAAGAAGAATAAATTTTGTAGGAATCGAAGCGTGTTTTTCTTGCATGACAGCAGCTGAAGCGTTTTCCAGGCGATGATTGAACCGCAGGGTCCGCGCGGGACGCTCCCCCGGCTGCGCTTTATCCCCAAACGGGACAGGCGTGACAATGATGCAGACATGCAGCCCAAAGAAAACTGGAAAGAAAGCACCTTTTGTGTTCTTGTTTATTTTATTTTGATTGTTGAAGTTCAGATCTGGATCCTGCAGATTATTAGATTTGGACCTAGAGCTGCAGCGGGCACTTGACTCCAACTTCAACAACGCTAAATAAAATCTCACGATAATGACTTGAGATGACAATCCTTAAAAATCGAACAAAACTCGCGAAAATCTGTAGCAGCTTTAAGTTCAAGTCTTTGTAAAACGGGGAAGAAAAAGAAAACATTTTTTTAACCTAAACTGCTGGATTGAACAAGAAAACAAGCTGTTGCATGAAAGACAAAAACTCGCAAAAAATAAAAATAATCGCTTTAAACAAAGTCAACAAACCTGCAGAGGCTCGTGCACAAGGGTCTGCATGGTGGCAGCGCTTTCAACTTACCAAACAAGTGTAGAAAATGAAGCAGCCTCTGAGAAGAAACCACGTTGGACTGAGAAAGGATTACAATGCGATCTATTTAGAGAAGCATAACGTCACCCCTGGGGTGACGTCACGTGGGATTCCTGAACTTCTAAATCATAGCGGACCCTGCGCGAGGAGGAGTGGGGGGGCCGTGGGGTGGGGTAAGTGGACAGGACACCACCGGCTGGGTCGTGGAGTGGGTGTGGTGTGACACAGCAGGATGACCTCTGCTGACCCAGGCTGAGAAGATGGGTTCAGTTTGATGCTCAAGTTCAATCAGAACCCAGATACTGCTCAGCATGAATTAAAACCTATTCAGCAAATTCATATTTTGCTTTAATTATCTAAAAGCTACTTGAATGTTTTAAATACCTTTTTTCTCCTGTCTGTATTATGAATGAGATGCTGAAGTGCCATAGCTGATTATTGGGATGACCTAAATGTATTCTTATCATCAATTTATGCAAATAATTATTTACAGAAATATGGGTTTTAAAAATTATTTTTTTAATCATATCTTTTCTGTTTATTAGCTGTTCCAATGTATGCCTTGTATAGGGATATTTGAACGAGTTATGGACTTCAATCTGATCAAATATTGCCTCTTTCGGGCTCCTACAGTTTAACATCCTTTTAATGACATGCTGCATAAAGATCAACAGTGAATGAAAACTGTTTCTTCTAGCTCTATGTTTCCATAGCTCAAAACAAAAAAAGAATAAGCAGTTAAAACGACTTATTGTAAATTAAATACACACAAATATTATTTTTTGGGGGGGAAAACAACATGGTCAGACGCTACCTAAACAGAGAGCTCAACCTTTTATCAATTCTGTTGTTACTAGGCAAAAATATGGTGAGCAATAAGCACAAAAAAATTAACCACCTACTATCATTTATTTGAACTTAGATTATCATATCAGGTGGCCATTCTATAATCAATATGTTATAATATTTAAGCAAAAAGCTGAAACTCTTCTTCTTCTGCTTAAAATGAAAACAATCATTTTTTTTTTATTAAAAACAAAACAAAATCTGAATATAAAAATCAGTGTGATCAATGTGCTATCAGCTAAAGCAGCGTGTTAGAAACATTCAGTGGCATTTCTGAAACGTGTGCCTCAGCTCCAGCACATTAGAGGAGATTTAGACCTCTTCTGAGTGCGACACTTTAGACTTGGTGACTTGCTGGTGCCAACTGGCTGTGATTTTTTGGGCCACAGACAGTGGTAGTAGTGAAGCCATCCTCTACTCCAGGGATTAATGACTCCTCACACATTGAAAAATGTTTACCACTGGCCTGCGACCACTCCACTAGACACACTAAGAGCTCTGTCACCGAAACAATAAGGCAGTCTGAAAAGCAGCCATAACTCAGAGCCTTTCTGCCTCTGTCTTTTAACCAGAGCTTTAATCAACATTTATGACATCCCTTTGTCTCTTTATTGCCAATATATTCCCAACCAATCCAAAGATTATGCTGCCAGAAGAACAGACAATTAAGGCTGGAAAGAGCCGATACAGTTTGGGTCAGTGACCCACACTAAAGGAGATTTGATCTATATTATACTAACCCTTTTATGATTATGCCTTTGGGTGATGCTTTTGTGTAAGATCACCTTGAACAACCACCAATGATCACTGCAGCAGAATAGAACACAACAATTCTTTGCTGTCCAACAGTGAGGAAATTCTGGTATGAAAATATTCTTGTTCTATTCTATTCTACGTGCACAGAGGAAAGGTGAGGCATGGAACAAAAGAAATATAAAAAAAGACTGTTCTGCTTTAACTATCTGAATCATTAAGTGATACGTGCACTTTCTTAATTGTAGAGCTGTATCCCTTTGTGATTATTTTTGCTTTAAGATATTGCTAAATTTTGATATTTAATTATCTTTACCTCATAGAAAAAAAGGCATTCTTATTTGAAATGTGTCGTACAGATGTTCAGGAAGCCTCCATACGTCATTGTCAATTTGCACAGCTTTTTACCTGCTCTGGAAATTTTTGGTTGTTTATGTTTGCTGCTGTTTTTTTTTTTCATTTTTTCCCTCCTTTATTCGGCTTAAACATGCTTCGTTTTATTAATAACTACTCAGTACTTTTATATAATTTATATACTTTTATATATATCTTATCTTGTCTAGTCAAGTAAACTGAAACACTTACCTTATTACATTCCCCCATAATGTTCACAGTAGCTTTAAGGTCTGAAAGGGCAGAAAACCTCTCCAGCTAAACTCCTGAAATCATATATTATGATGACAGTCAGAGCAATAGAGTGCCTCACATATGCTTCAGGGTAAAATTATGCAAGCCAATTTATCTTAGATAGAGCGTAATTGGAGGATTCGTGGTGAAAAAGTTATCAGGGTCAGTTTTAAGATTACCTAGAAACTAGCACATTTTACTCTAAAAAAGGGTCCACTAATGAAAACAAACTGAGAGACAGTACTTGATGACAAGGAGGGACTCTTTTGAACCAAGAAGAATTAATCTTAGTCGTTATTTATATTAGAGGTGGCCAATCCAACTCAGAAATGTGGTAACCATTCAGCAGTCGAAGCTATTAATGGCAACAAGTGCAACAATGCTCAATAAGGTTATGTGAAGCCTTCAGGATAGAATATAGAAGTATACCCTATAAGACTATGTTGTGTTGCATGTTTACCCTGTTGAGGTTGCTTTTGCAAAAAAGGTGCAGATCCATTCCACTCTAAGCAGAACTTTGATTCTATTTTACATTTAAACTTCAGGATAAACATCCAGATTTCTGTATTTCCTGTTGATTATATCACAAAAATGCTCATTTACAAATCAACATTTTCCTTGAACATATACATACAGAGAAAAAGGTGAGATATTTCAATTGTTTAAGCTAATAATCTTAAAACTTATGTTGGAATTAGAATCTTGCTTAATTTTACCATGCATGTTTAGCATTTTAACTTATATAACATTAGTACAGTTTCCCCTTTATGAAAATAGCCCTAAATTCATTAACACTGTTGGCTGGTGTGTGGTGAGATGATTCCTTAGGAAACAGGAAGAGGACTGTCTGTTTTTATACATTCCTTTAACATCTTTATTAGACGTCAGTATATGCGGCATTAGGGGATTGATCTGTGTGATGTTGCATTATCTCTAAGTAGACGAGCGGTTTCTTTTTTTTTTGGTTCCCTCCAACATCCAAACAGCGTTAGGTTATGTACATGACCTCTCTAAATCCACTCTAGGTGTGTGTTATGGCTGTGGTCTCTCTCTCTACAGCTCTACAGCAATGAACATTGGAGAAAGATATCAGATCAGCAGTGTAAAAAGGCTAATTATGCAGATGAATATTTTTTATTCTTTTTTTTTAACAAAGATATATATCACTAGTCATTTAGATTTTTTGAAGAACTTGTTCTTTTTTGTGACAAATATTCTGACCATATTTTACAGCAAAAAAGAAAAAATTCTCAGATGTGTGTGTCTCATTCAGCTGCAGAGAAGTGACAGCTTTTTCTCAACTCTTTGGCAAATGGTCAACACAATTTGCTCATCACTGCAGAAGTGAATCTAGGATATGATCTTAACACGTTTAAGACTTTTGTCTAGTAGAGATATGTTTGGTTGAAGATGGTGGTTCACAATGTGAAGATGTCATGCACTTGTTGCAGAGAACTGAACCACATACCCCATGCTCGGATCCTTTTTCTTCAATTATCTCACAACAGCTAAACATAAATTTGAGATAACATAAATCAAATTTCCCTTTTTTTCTTTCTTGGTTGTAAGAAAGTCCTGTAAAAATGATCTCTTTGACTTGGTTAGTACAGAGAAGTACATGTTACCACCTTCTTTTTCTACACCTCAGTTCCCACGGATTTTTTTTTTTTATGCTTCCCACTGCAGTTGTCCACGATGAAGTGACCATTTAGCTCCAATATTGCATTTTGCTTAAAATGTTCGTATTTATTTTACTAATCTCTACTAATAAAAAAGGTACAAATATGTCTTTTTTCCCCAATGTTTTGCCCCCTTCTGCATGTTTCCCCATCTTCACAAGTTCCATAGCCAAGCGAAACAAAGCTTAATAGGTAGCAAAGAAAGAAAATAACAGAAAAGTGTTTTAAGATGGCCTTCCTCTCCTGGCATACAACACTGTAGGATGTCCACTTCATTTAGAGTAAAGAAATTATTGTTGGATGTTTTGTTTCTCTACTAATAATTCAAATTTCTTCACTTAGCTAAAAAGTGCTGAATGGTTATTGGGATTTAAAAGCAGATGCTGAGTAATTCTCAGTAAGTTGACAATAAACAAAAATGAAATAACAAAGCCTGTCTTAGGTGAGTAACTGAAAGTCATTGCTCGCTCACCTAAACAGCATTTAAACGCCACTTTTGCTTTATGTGTTCCTTTTAAACAGTTTAGTAAATCTATTGCACATCTGTTGCCTCATTTGCATTTATGGGGTGTAACAACCTGAAGAGCTATGATTAGTTATAGCAATACCCATCGAGGGAAATGGTAAAGAAATAAATGGACTGAGAAGAGGTAGTATTTTTTATTAACATCAATGCTCCTTATATATATATAAAAAGAAAAATAATAATAAAACAGCTGCAATGTAATTATTGGAGCATTTTCTAGGGGAACAAAAGACAAACAATGAATAATGAAGAAAACAATGAATAAATGAACTTTAAAATTGCATTGTCATTCAAATAAATAAACATTTTATTTCTTAGCAATTTCAAATATACACACTTGAATAAAATAAAGCTATGATTTGTAATAACAAATCTTGTTTTTTGTGTGTTTTTTTTTACTTTTTTGGAATCAAACGATGACAATCCTAGACATGTACTGGGGTAAGATTGAAGTGAACAGGTTGATATTTTCTTGTTATTCTAAAAAAAATTGTGAGTTTAATTGATCCTTTGGTAAAAGTTGATATAACTTGGATGTTTCCCACTGGATAACCCTGTAATGATAGAAATAAACCATATATGTTCTAGTTTATGCATGTTTAAAACATCGGTTTGACATTCTGCAGCACAAGGCAGTGTTGTATTACCATTAACATACAAACATCATGTCATAACACAGCGGCAAAGCCTTTAGGATTTAAAATATAACAAAATTACTTTGTAGGAACAGCTTTAAACTTTACTGGAAGTAAATGGGCTGATGTAGATGGTATTTATTCAGTGACAAACACTGCCACTCTGTGGCCATTAGCTGTTCTTGAGCCACTTGTAGATCCACTAAGAAGTAAACCATATATGAAACCATCTGGTAGAAATTAAACTCAAGTGAGCCAAAGCTGGTGCAGCCCTGTCAAACACAAAGCAGTGATTTCAAACAATGTTCTTAATGACTTCAGCCTGTTTTAGAGCTGGGTGATTATTCAATAAAAATCAAATCATTCTTTTTTTTTTTTTGCTTATGGTGATTACATTTTTGGAAAATCTGGATTTTTTTTTTTTCACCAGTCAACTAGTCAGCTATCTTTTAAGAGAAATGCAGTGTGCAAAAAAAATTTACCTATTCACTTTGAATAAAAAAGAAAATATTCAAATAGGAAAAAAACTATTCTTTTTGAGACTAAACATTTATAAATCCTGGAAAACCAGGCTTTAAATCACAAAGATGATCAAATCCTGCTATCATAAACTGCAAAAAGGTTTCTGCCATTACTAAATAAATCCAATTAACCATACCACTATTGAATTAAATATCACTTTAAATCAGTCTATGGAGGGTGTAATGTCTAATCATGTATTTCTGCAAAGGCAAGAACACCCAAAGGTGTAAAATGTTGTTTGAGGCTACTCAGAGCCCCCTGCTGGCCAAATAGAAAAAAAAGATGTGGGGACATCTGGCTGCTAAAAAGTCCTGTGTCCACAGACATTCTAATTATATCTATATATGTCTGGGACTAAAGGTTGATGACAGAATCAGTGAATAATGACATTTTCTGCAGTTGCTTGTTAATGCTTCATCTAAGTGTACAATTCCTCTGAGCTAAATTTCTGCTTATCTGAAAATAACTGAAGCTAACTAATAAATAATACATATCATTATACCTATAACATATTTAACATACAAAAGCGAAATTGGAACAAAATACATTTGGCTGAATGTAGATTGTGAAAAAATCATTAGTGTAGGAAAAATATACAAAAAAATACAAACAAAAGATTCAAAGTATAGGTTGTTTTTTTTCTCCTTTTTTTTCTTTTTTACTTTTCTGTCACACTTTCAGGAGAGCCAGCTACCAACAATACTAATAGTGAACACATTCAGGAAAATAACCCAGATTAACAACTAACAAATTCTGTATATATATATATATGCATATGTAAAAACTAAATCCGAGTAAAGTGAAAATCCAAGTAAAGTGATACGTGGCGTGCAAAATAGTGCATAAATGTAAATTACAGTGTTGAAGATTTAATAGATCCAAAATGCTGCAGCCAAAGTTCTGATGAAAATTAAAAAGAGAGATCATATCTCTCCTAGCCTGGCTTCTCTTCATTGACTTCCTGTTAAATCCAGAATAGAATTTAAAATCCTCCTTCTAACATATAAAGCCTTAAATGGCCAAGCTCCATCTTACATCAGATATCTGACTGTTCCTTATGTCCCTAACAGAGCACTTCGCTCTCAATCTGCAGGTTTACTAGTGGTTCCTAGAATTTCTAAAAGTAAAATGGGAGGCAGATCTTTTAGTTATCCTGTGGAACCAACTACCAGTTTTAGTCCATGATGCAGACACCCTGTCTACTTCTACAGTAAGACTAGGCTTAAAACGTTCATTTTTGATAAAGCTTATAGTTAGAGGGGCTCAGGTTATCCTGAGCTATCTCTATAGCTATGCTGCTGTTGGAGGACATAGGGACCCTTTTTCATTATTCCGCTTCATTCTATCTCTATTCTCCCATTCTGCAGAATTTGTTAGTTCAATCTCTAACGTTCTGCTCTCACTGCTTTTTTGATAGTAGCTTCATCCGGTCTGTTCCTGTTTGACTGTGACTCCATCCTGGAGAGAAATATCAGCTCTGCTGCTGCCATCAATGCCTTTGTTTGTGGATGATGGCGCTTGACCTATTTTTCAGTGTAGTCCTGGTTCTCTAACTGTCACTAACTGTATGTGCTCTCTTTCATCCTTTGACATAGGAGCTGGTTTGGAGCTCTTCTGCCTGACTCTGTGTTTCCTGGACGGGCCGCCTGTGGAGCTGGTTGACAGATGCCTTTTGTATCTCTGCTTCTTTCTGTAAGCGGCCTCGGCAGATGGCCACTCACACTGAGTCCGGTTCTGCTTGAGGTTTCTTCCTGTAAAAAAAGAGTTTTTCTTCTCCACTGTCACTACAAGCATGCTTGGTGTGAGGGATTGCCTTCAAGTCACTGAGTCGATGCAATCAACTGGTTTTCTTTAGATAGAAAACTTTGAATCAGTCTGACTTTATGATCGAATTGTCTCTGTAGAGTGCCTTGGGTGGACATGTTATGTGAGTTGGCAATATATAAATAAACTGAATTGAATTTAAAGTATAAGCAAGAGATTGGGAAAAAGAAGCATCCTTAGCAACGTTCAAAGACGTTGCTGATGTGCGCTTTTACCACATCCGCTTTGCCCTGACTTTATCTGTAAACTGCTGCGCTTTTCAAATGAAAATCTACCTCCTAACATCCGGTGCTGCTGACTGCCTCCAGCTGGTTTGACGCAGCTCGGAGGAGTCCCTGCCCAGCTCCAGCTGTTCTCCCCGCTGCTTTGCCCCGCTGCCTCCGCTCCGCTGCCTATCCTCGTTTCAAATGTCACGGCGATCATGACAGGCATCGCGGCTGTTTCCTTCTTCTCCAACGCTTGCAGCTTCGCCGGCTGCGGGCTTCATTTTGACTCCCTGTCTGAGCTCATCATGCACATCGAGGATAACCACATCGGTAAGAGCAGCACGCAGCACCCAGCGCCCTGCCACGGCCGAAGCTAGCAGACGTGGCTACTGAAGGCTATAGCTAACAAGTTACTTCCTGCGTCCTAGCAACGCGGTTGCTAGGTGGGGTGGTTGTTGATGTTCCGCTGCTTCCTGTTCGTTTCGAGGAGGAAAGCTGCGCGACTTTCTGTGTCAATGTTACACCGACAGAAGTGGACTAATAGGATAAGAGAGAGTAATGGGGGAGACAGTTTCTGTAAGTGTGGGCAACATCAAGACAAGGCCCCGCGCACAGATCAAAGTGCCGCTTAGAGACTTGAATCATCAGGTTGCGCTGAATAGTTACCAGCGTTATGTTTGCCTGGCAGCGTCATGTGACCAAACTAATAACACAAGTTTAGAGCTTGCTGCTGCTACTTTAACCCACTTTACAAAGTTCCAGCTTGTCTTAGAATAAAACACCTAGTATTTATAAAGTGATTTTTGTGCCCCTTTCTTTGCAAACACCTCTTGATGGATAATCATTATGGCAGATTTATTTTGTCATTTTGTACACACGAGTGTAAACAAAAAGAAATTTCATTTATAACAGCTCTAGACAACTCATTTTTTAAAGTGCAGCCTTGAAAACAGTAATAAATACATTAGAAAATAGTAATATAAACATATGACTGTATATTTAGAGTTCTAAACATTCATTTTTTTAAATAAATAAAATAACCCACAGTAATAAATACATTAAAAAAATAGTAATATAAACATGACTGTATATTTAGAGCTCTAAAAATTCATTTTATTAAATAAATAAAATAACCCACAGTAATGTATACATTAAAAAATAGTAATATAAACATATGACTGTATATTTACAGTTCTAAACATTAATTTTTTTAAATAAATAAAATAACCCACAGTAATATATACATTAAAAAAATAGTAATATAAACATATGACTGTATATTTACAGTTCTAAACAATATTTTTTTTAAATAAATAAAATAACCCACAGTAGGAAATACATAAAAAAAATAGTTATATAAATATATGACTGTATATTTACAGTTCTAAACATTCTTTTTTTTTTAATAAATAAAATAACCCATTTTACATAACATTCAGCTGTCTAGTGGCTTATAGTCCCTTCATTCTTTTACAACTGAGTTAATCTCACCCTAAATATGAGATTATAACATACTTTGTATCTTGTGGTCACGTTTCTTGAAAAAAGTTTTAAAAAATGTATTTTAAATCAGGGTTAAATTTGTTCTAATTGATTTTGACATTAAACAATTATTGAACCAATCCTCAATTAGGCTTCTTTAGAATAATTAAAAAAAATCATTAGTTAAAATGTACAGATTCTGAAACATGTACTTTGCTGAAAGCACCATCAAATCAAACAACAATGTACAAAAACTACATCATGTTTCAATGAAGATGCTTTTTTTTGACTGCAAATATGATTTATTCAGAAATCCTCCTGTGGCATAATTTTATCTTGATGTGTTTCAGATTCTGTTAATAATCTTCTATTCAGCTCCTTTTGCTATCTGATTATTAGTTGAAAAATAGTCAACAGACTACTTCATTAGCAAAATAATCATTAGGGCTGGACAATATATCAAGACTTGAAAATTACTCAGATTTTCTTCTTTTTTAAAGATTTAAAAAATGGGATTGTATCAATTATATCAATGTCTATATTTCCTTGTAATTATACTTTCATATAGTAGGTTTGTTAAAAAGAGTAATTGTGTGACATTTGGGAAAAAGCTTTAACATTGATGTGTCTTTTCATGAATGAGTTCTTAAAAGAAAACATTGGGATATTCATATATGATAAATATTTAGATGAAAAATACAGAGATATTTATTTTGGCCATATCGGCCAGTCTTGTTATAAAGTTCTGTTTGCTAGTAATGCACTTTATTAATCAGAAAAAACATGAAATCATATTATTAGATAACAGAAAGATTTCAATTGTTACTACATCTGCCTGGAATATTTATTTTATTATTTCTGCTTTAATATTAATCAACAACAGTTTTTGTCATTTTCTTGTTATTTTTGTTTTTGATGTTTTGAGATCTGCAAATATATAAATTAATAATACAACATGGTAATTATGCAGAATATAATTCCCTCTTGCAGGATTGTTCTTTATCGGGTAACACTGTGTTTCTAAAACAGGTGATATTAGCTAATTTTAGCAGACCTGGAGTTGCCAGATAAGCTTCTCATAGCCTGTTGACTGTAGTTTTGAAATAGAGCTACTTTAAGAGCAGGAATTTTTTGTATTCTTTTGGTTTCCACATAATAGGTATACATTTTTTTCACTGCTTGAACTAGTTGTGAACCAGAGGGAAACTTGACCAGTTTAATCTTGATGTATAGCAACAGGTGGGGGAGGAGGATTTCTGGGTTGCTCTATACTCAATGCATGCTGAGAAAACTCCAATTACTACAGTATATGCTGATTCTTTGGCAACTTAGGTCTTGACAACATTATAACAGAACATTTTAGAAGTTTAGAAAGCTTAACTCTGTACATCCTTAGTATGCCTATAGACGTAACTGGCTGAGTCTATTTAAATTATTTGCTTATGAAGAAGTGAAACACTGTACATTATTTGAAAACAAACCAAAAAAAAAACTAACCTGAAATATTGCTTACTTAAATATTCCTGTTTGGTTTATTCTGAAACGTTCTTAAACCCAGTTTACTTTGATATTATTTTCAAAAGGTTCGTAGTTTACAAAGATTCTAAATTAGTTAATTCAATACACACATCAACAAACTATTTAGACATTGATTTGTGTTGTTTTGAGCCTGGTATATATCAGATAAAGTATCATGAGTTATGCTTTGATGCATAAATGAAGATTATCTTTTTTGATTTTCTCATCCATTTAAACGTTCTTTATCTACAGTATTAAGAGATCTGGAGCTTGTTGTTTTTCCTTCTACGGTCAATGTTTGCTAGTTTACAGAAATGTGTGTTTATGTGTTGCAGTACTTAAAAAGGAAATTACATTTGCTAAAACTGAAATTGGTACTCATCAAATTCTGACTGATTATGTCTTTAAAAGGAAGTTTAAGATTGCATATAAACAAGGCACATAAGCCAACAACACATCTGCTGCTCCAGTTCAAATGGTTAACAGATGGTGTCATATTAAGATAGTATCCAAACTCACTCAAAGCACTGCCCTTATTTTTGTTGTGCAACTCATATAACACAAATAGAATGCATACAGTATAAAGAACCTTTGTTCTTTATACTGTATGTATAAAGAACATTGTTCTACAGGTGAGAAAATCACATGATCCATCAAAAAAAGCGTATGCAACACAAAAACAAGAACAGATGACTACTACAGTAATGGCAAATTAGCATCACAAGAAAAAATAATTTCTATTGCTATTGTTTCTTCAAAATAGCATCATCCAACAATGATGATGTAAATACCTGGACATATTTTGAGCCATACAAAAATTAAAATACTTATTTTTCTTAAATAGTGAGAACAAAATCAGAACAGCCCAGATAGAAACACTTCTTGAGTTATATTGTACTGTAACAATGACTGTTATAAAGTCCCCCATGCAAGTGTTGGCATAAGGGAGAGTGTTGGCCTAATGGTTAGAGCAGTGCACTTGTGCTTTTAGAAGGTTGCAAATACCAGATTCAATCACCACATCCTGCCCTCTGGGTCCCGGAGCAAGACCCTTAACCCCTTCACTGCTCTCAGGGTGCTGCACAATGGCAGCTCACTGCTCCCCAAGGGGATGGATTAAAGGCAGAGGTAAATTTCTCCAGTGTGAGATCAATAAAAGTTAAACTGCTGAAAAGAAATATTTGCAGTAATGCTCATTTTTGCACCTAAGGTAGAGTAGTGTTTTACTGAAGGGGCTTTTAGTTATGCAACAGCTTCTAGCGTAGGGTGGGAAACAGAATTACAGCAGATCGCAATTTAGAGAGTTGATGGGGAGTTTAAAGTAGAGAGGGTGACAGGATCATGGCCACACAATTCCTCTTAGGGACTCCGTACTGTACTGTAACAGCCTGTCAGAAACATAACCCTGTGTGCTCACATACTATGGACAGCCAATGAGGTAGTCCAGATGGGGGCAGTAAATGATAGCATTCTCCACTCTGATGCCAATCTAGTTGGCAACCTGCAGCACATCAAACAAATATCTTACCATGGACTGGAGATGGTTGAGGTCCAGCTTCTCAAGAGATTTAATCAGATGTGAGTTCAGTGTTATCAAACTGGAGCTGCTTAGGTCTTTCTAATGAATGTTGTTTAGCACTGGTATCACGCATGACATGATTTAAATCCTGAGAGATCAAAATAAGGGCCTGTGGATGCAGGGCTTGGAGTGACATGGCAGGCTGCTACAGTAATGGCAGATAGGTGGAGCATACACCATCTTGATGTCAGTTTTTCTTGGTGACGTCACATGTTTTGAGCAAATACCAATCCTGATTCAAACTTTTTATGCAATACTCTCTAAAAAAATGTGGAGGATGCCAAAAAGAGGTTATGAAATACAAATGGGGGACTGCAAAAAGGGCTGGGCAATAAACAAAACAATATGTATCTTGATAAGCACCTGATCAATATTACCGTAATAGAAAAACATCCGACAGAATCATATACAATTTCACTAAACTTTAATCTAGAAACGCACAGTATTCTGGAGGAATGTCGATAGAGGAAAAATATTAAGCCTCTTAAGCTGTCACAGCCAAGTTAGGCAGGGTTGGTGGAATGGCTCGCCTATTTTTAAAGGTTAAAGGTTGCATTTAAATGGTGTTAGGATAAAAATCTAAAGTTTAGCCTCTTTTCCCCAGTCCTTATTTCAAATAGTAAAAAAAGGGATAAATAATTATTTATATCGTGATACATGTATCATCCATATTGTGCAGCCCTAACTGCAACAAATGTCTAAAAATTTGTCAAAACATAACCTGGACATATAGGCGTCACAGCAAAAAAAA